GACGCTTTAATGGGGAACTTCTAGGGGTGAAGGACACTCGTCGTCGAATCGAGAGTCGACGCTTTTAGGGATCGTTCTTTTAATTGTCTACGCTCTAATTGTTATTAGTTTCATAGATCTTTCCTTTTTCTTCCTTTTTTCTTCTTTTGAATGGTGGAGGATTTTGGAGGGTTTGAAATGTGTGGCTGCAAAAGTGTTGGTAGGATGGGGTGAGTTTTGGTGAAAGTTGGGATTTAGGATTTTGGAAATTTGGGAAATTTGGGATTTAGGAGATTTGAAATTGGAGAAATTTGGGATTTTTGGATAGGAGGAGGAATTTAGAGATATTAATTGGTAAATCAATGAAAATTAATTGTATTTTTGTTGGAAAATCAATGGAAATCAATTGTATTTTTGTTGGAAAATCAATGGAAATCAGTTGTATTTTTGTTGGAAAATCAATGGAAATCAGTTGTATTTTTGTTGGAAAATCAATGGAAATCAGTTGTATTTTTGTTGGAAAATCAATGGAAATCAGTTGTATTTTTGTTGGAAAATCAATGGAAATCAGTTGTATTTTTGTTGGAAAATCAATGCAAATCAGTTGTATTTTTGTTGGAAAATCAATGGAAATCAATTGTGTTTTTGTTGGAAAATCAATGGAAATCAATTGTATTTTTGTTGGAAAATCAATGGAAATCAATTGTATTTTTGTTGGAAAGTCAAAGAAAATTCATTGCATTTTACCTGAAAAATCATTGGAACCAAATTATATTTTATGAGATTTTAAAATATTGGATTAGTAGACTTTGAATTTTACAGTAATGTTAAATTAGTTCACGAGGTTTCACTCCAGAGAATTTTTGAAATTCGTTAAATAATTTTTTTTACTATTCAAAAACGAAAAATTTACTCAAAAGGAAGCTCAAAGGCTGAAATTTTAGCCTAATCTGATCAAGACAGATCTTCCTTCGATATACGTATCTCTTCACAATATAATTACAGATTTAAAAAAAATATCGCTAAAAATGAAACAACATTTTCGCAAGAAAAAGGAATCACTTTTAACAATATTTGTTCCTTCTACACAACTAATGTATCACTCGCGAATTGAGTAAGAAAGCTCGACGAACGCGAGCTAAATAAGATCCTGTTGTCCCTCTGTCCCGGAATTTTTCAAAGTTTCACGGGTTTTCATTAGAGGCAGTGGAAACAACGTCGCGGCGGAAGTAAGCGCGGAAGAAACGGATTCGCGGAGCGTCCGTCGTTTATCCGGGTGCTTATTTCCTCGTCACGCGAAGGCGGCTTGGATATTTTATTCAGCGGATAGCCGCAGTCCCGCGAATTGCATTATCATTCACGGTACTTTACGACCACGCGGTACATAATATCGAAACCGCCGTTTGAATCTTCCTCCGCCAACCGGCCAATTCTCTTTCACGGCACGGTGGATAATAACGGAAACGAGGGGAAAGAAAAAGGAATTGAAAAACGGCGAGAGAAGAAGAGGAGAACGAACGAGTGTTTTTTGTGATTCTTAAATAACGTGCACAATGTTGCAATTTTATTCGAGGTACTTAAGTGTCCTCGGACGATACTTCTGAATGAAATTGAAAAGAGATTTCGAGGGATTAGAAAGATACTTTGATCGAAGTAGCGAAGAAAATTTGCCCGAGTATTAATATCGCACATTTCAATTACATTCCTATTGCAAACTAGAAATTTCTCTTCTACGACACCTCAAACTTCATTTGTTCAATTATACACGGAACTCTGTTGCTGGTTTCAATTTTAATCGACGACTGATCAATTAAAAATACACGAAAGAAATGGTGAACTTCAGCACAATTCTACATTTCAATTTTAATTATGTGCAATTGTGCAGCCTTAAGTACCAATTCAGTCACATTTCAATTACGAATAGCAATTTTCAATTGCAATGAATTAGCATCGAAGTGTTGTTTATTCAATAAACTGAATTTCGCAGTCTGTAGAAAAATTTCATAAATTGAATAATAAGCAATTGAACTGGTTGACTCGTTAATTCAACACTGTCTGATCTAAAGTTCTCGTAGGATCCTCGTATACCATCGAGCAACCACAAAACGCAAACAGATTCGCGCGATCAGTAGCGCAAGAATTAACCGAATTCCCGTGCAATTCCGCCACAGTAAATGGAGAGCCGGTTGAAAAATCTACAGTTTCGATGTGGCCGCTGCGGTGAACCGAGTGTGCTCGCTTCGAGTTTCAAAGCGGCCGCGAGCGGATTCGCGTCTTTGAAGCGGACAAACGGCCAGGTGAAATCTTCCAGAAGAATTCAATTATTACCAGTACGCGTGTGGTACGCTTGAAAAGTCTTCCGAGATAATTCCAAGTAGCTTCAACAATTTCTACGTCAATTTTCAAACTTACGTCACGTTGTTGAAACTTGAAAATTGTCACACTTGAAACTACTTCACTTCTCCCTTCACTTGGAACGAAATGTTTTTCAAGTCGAAGATAAACGAATCGAAATACTCCACGATAAAACGAGACACTAACCTGTTCCACATAGTGTACTTAATATGACGATGGACGAAATGCTAATTAAATTAGTACTGGAAATTCTCAGGAAAATGTTCAATTATTTACCATTACATACTTGAAAATTGCTGAATAAAAGAAAAGAATTGGAGGAACGGAAGAATTTTATCTCAGACGAAGGGAAAATTGGTATAATACGATGACAGAGGAAATAATAATTGAATTGGTATTGGCAATTTTCAAGTAAACAGTAAATCACTTACCACTACTTACCTGAGAATTGCTAAATAATTGAAAGAACGGACGAATTTTCTTTTAGATAAAGTTAAAAATTAGTATCGAATTAGCATTAGTATTAAGTACTTTCAATTACAACAACTTTCAAGTCTCAAGTAAGTCACACAAAAGAGAAAATTAGCGCAGAGGGTAACAAAGCTTCCTGGAATTATCTCGAAAAATCGCAAACAATTTGCAAACAAATTTCTAACGAGCAAAAAAAAAGAAAATTCCAACCAACTTGCTCGAAATTCGAAATATCGTTCCATATCCCTATTATCAATTCTATCGTTCCACTACAGGTAACGCGTATACACTGAGAGAGTCGATGCAATCGTGGAATTATTGGAGCATACAAAGCTCGGTCTAAAGAGAGAGAGGAGGGGGGGGGGGAATCCTGCGAAAACAGCTGTTTCGCATTATCAGACGCGAGAGCACGTCGCGATTCCGTGGAATAATAATAATAACAATAATAGGAGAATGAAATTGTTCCCGCGGGGAGTTATTTTCGTTTGGGGAAAAGCCTGTTTCAAAGAACAGCTTTTAACGAGAGATTAATTGCTTTAGAGAGTCCAGTCTATTCTCTCTCACTCTCTCTCTCTCTCAGAATTCATTTGTTCGCTTACATTAACGAGCGTAAGTTGAAACGGCCTCCACCAATTGCAGCAACTATTTTTCTTTTCCCCACCACAGTGCACATTTGTTCGTTGAAACTTAACGTTCAAGCAGCTTCTTCGTTCTTATCCTTCTTAATTTCTGCTATTTTCTTTTTTCTTCTTCGTCTTTGATTCGTTTTTTTTTTTTTTGTTCGTCGAATAACGAGGAAAGTACGAATGTGTATTTTCTGGTGTATTGTCTCTCTGTCTTTCTGGGGTCGTTACCTCGCCATTGTTCAGTTTTCTCTCCCTCTCTCTCTCTCTCTTAATAAATGACAACCGAGACGGAATTTTATTAAGCGTGTCGCAAGGCGGGGAAATTTGGACGGTGAAAGGATGCAACGACACGTGAAACTCTTTTATTCGGGAACTTTAATTGTGGGAATAAAATGGTCATTCATGAGCAAACTTTTGAGACAGTTCTGTGGGTACTTTCTACTGTTTCTGATAGTACCTTAAGAGTGGGCCTTCGTGACGATTATTCGTAAGGAAAATGTAGGAGATTTGGTGAGGTTTGAAATTTTAGCGTTTTCGTTTAATTCTCGAAAATTTGGCGCAGTAAATATCCTGATTTACTACCTTGAGCGTGAGTTTTCATGAGAGTTATTCGTAAGGACAAAGTAGGAATTTTGGTGGAGTTTGAAATTTCACATTTCTATTTAATTCTCGAAAAGTAAATTTACTAACTAATGAATTTCTTTCACATTTTGTACTGCTTATAATGACGCCTTAACCCTAGAGCGGTCCTCGGGTCTTTCCTGACCCACCAACTTTTTATACTTTTAGTCATTTTCGCTGTTATCAAGTTTACGTTCCTCGACATTATTTTAAACGTCTATTGTCTACGTTCACACCTCGCATTGGAAAGAAAAATTATTACACACAATGTCTTAGGTCCTTTTTCACCCAAAAGTCTTAAGTGCACGGTCAAAACGAAGAACGCAGTAGGGTTAAGGGCGGTTTTTCATGAAAATTATTCGAAAGGAAAACGTGGGAGTTTCAGTATTTCCGTTTAATTCTCGAAAATTGAATGTACTTATTTATATCCCGATTTACCACCTTAAGGACCGTTTTCACGACAATTATTCGTAAGGACAAAGTACGAATTTTGGAGAAGTTTGAAATTTCATATTTCTATATAATTCGCGGAAAGTAAATGTACCAAATATCCTAATTCACTTAACAAAATTTGTTTACACTTTCCACTATTCGTAACAGCACGTAATTCTCGAAAATTAAACGTATCAAATATCCCGATTTACCTAACAAAATTCTTTCACATTCGACACCATTTGTAACAGCATTTTAAGGGTGGTGTTCCGTGACAATTATTCGCAACGAAAATGTCGTAATTCCGGTGAAATTTGAAATTTCATTATTCCCATTTAATTCTCGAAAATTAAATGTACCAAATATCCCGAATTACTAAATAAAATTCTTTTACCTTTTTAATATTCCACACGGAACTTGTCGCGAAATTTAATTCAATCGTGACAATTCTACATTGAAATTTTGAGCAAGTTCCGAATAAACGTGAGAATTGAGAGAATGGAGAATAATACTCACCCTTTTCCACGCACGACGGCACGCAGTCTCGAACTGTCGAGCCCTCGCTGACGTATTTCTGGAAAAACAGGAGAAAAAGAAAATGAATCGTTATTTGGATTATTTTTAGAAATAAATTTACGTGAAAATTATTCCAACCTTATTCAGCATTTTTTACTTGGAAATAATAACGAGAAAAAGAGTGAAAATTACGAATAAATTTGCGGAAATAAACTTTTAGGAACTTGTTTCGAGTATTACAAGCTGAATGATACTTACGAAGAGATTGTCGCACAATGTTTTACGTAATATGCAGTATATTTTTGAAAAATTCAACGTGGAACTACGCGATACGGAATGTTAAATTAATGCCGTGCAACGATCGATCTGCTTGGCTACATGCCCTGTGCAATATTTAAACGAATTTGAACACAGATGTGTAATCGCGAGGCCATTATAAATTTAAAATGCAATCTCGTTCGACGATTAATCTTCCTCCCCATCGAAGACTTCCAATAAATACAATTTTTAATCAGATGTACCCAAATTTTTTCTGTTTATTCACGCATTTCTTTTACTATCCTTACTGAGAAATTAAATAAAAGGAAACCAAAGAAAAATCGTGGGAGAAATGCAAGCACAATATTTCAAATTTGAGAATTTCTTAAGTTTTCAGAAAGGAGGGAAACAGATTTCTAAAAGTAAACGTGACTAAAAAAAATCAAATTTCTGAAAATAAAGGTAACTGTAGCGCAACATTTCTCTCGAGAGAAAATAATAGAAACGCATAAGCGAACACTTCGAATTTGAAAATCGAAATAATTTCTGAAAATGGGAGGAAATAAATTTCAGAAAATAAACGTAACTAAAGAAATATGAAAATCAGTAAAATTTTCAGAAAGAGGGAAACCAAATTTCTAAAAAGAAACGCAAGTATAGTGCAACATTCCGCTCAAGAGAAAGAAAAATAAAAAAAAAAGAGAACCAAACATTGTAAATTTGAAGTTCGAAAAAATTTCCAAATGAAAGGGAACCTTTGAAACAAAAGCTGAAAATGAACGTAAGTATATTACAATTTTTCCCTCAAGAGAGGTTAAAGAGCACGAAGCAACAAAAACGCTCAAAATACACGGCATAATTGCGAAAAGTGAACAAAAAAGAATTACGATTCGATAGGAAAATCGTCGTTTTATTTTTCATCCGGTGGATAAATAGTCGATGGGGGTGAATACGAGTCGACGAATCATGGATTCGTTATTTAAACCGATGCTCCGTCGATTAACCCGCATTCGCGAATTTTTCCTCGATCAGCCAATGCTGCCAGAGCTCGCTCTTTTTTTTCTCTTTTTTTATTTGCACGCCACAGATACGGGTGAATATTAAAAGAGAAACGAATGGAGAGAGAGAGAAAAAGGTTGGGCGAGAGAGGAAGCGATTGATCGAACTAGAAAGTTGTACGTGTTGTTTGGAAAAAGTGATCGAGACATCTAAATGACTGATCGTCACGTGAGATGCGCGTTAACGCGACCTGAATGAATGATAAGAAAGTGCACGTACGAAATGGCCATCTGACTTTCGTGTACAAAGTGGCAAGAAATAATTACGTTGATTATTTTGCATTGTAGTTGGAGAAAATTCAAGGTTTTCCTGATTTCCTTTGCTTTAGTAAGAAAATAGGAAATTTGTGTTTGATTGTAGAGGAAAATTCGTACTCATAGATAATTATGTTCATTGTTTAGTATTGTAGTTGGAGAAAATACAAGGTTTCCCTGATTTCCTTTGCTTTAGAAAGAAAATGAGAAATTTGTTTGATTGTAGAGGAAAATTCGTACTCATAGATAATTATGTTCATTGTTTAGTATTGTAGTTGGAGAAAATACAAGGTTTCCCTGATTTCCTTTGCTTTAGAAAGAAAATGGGAAATTTGTTGTTTGGTAGTAGAGGAAAATTCGTGCTCTTAGATAATTATGGTGATTATTAAGCCTTTGTAGCTGGAGAAAATTCAAGGTTTCCCTGATTTCCTTTGCTTTAGTAAGAAAATAGGAAATTTGTGTTTGATTGTAGAGGAAAATTCGTACTCATAGATAATTATGTTCATTGTTTAGTATTGTAGTTGGAGAAAATTCAAGGTATTCCTGATTTCCTTTGCTTTAGAAAGGAAATGGGAAATTTGTTGTTTGGTAGTAGAGGAAAATTCGTGCTCTTAGATAATTATGGTGATTATTAAGCCTTTGTAGCTGGAGAAAATTCAAGGTTTCCCTGATTTCCTTTGCTTTAGAAAGAAAATGGGAAATTTGTTGTTTGATAGTAGAGGAAAATTCGCGTTCATACATAATTATGTTGATTATTTAGCTTTTGTAGTTGGAGAAAATTCAAGGTTTCCCTGATTTCCTTTGCTTTAGAAAGAAAATGGGAAATTTGTTGTTCGATAGTAGAGGAAACTTCGCGTTCATAGATAATTATGTTGATTATTTAGTATTGTAGTTGGAGAAAATTCAAGGTATTCCTGATTTTCTTTGCATTAGAAAGAAAATGGGAAATTTATTGTTTGATTGTAGAGAGAAATTCGTGTAAGGTTGAAAAGATTTCGTTTGACGATTGTTGGTAAAAGTTCGAAGTACCATAATATGGATTATGTGGAATTGAAGTATGTTTTAGTGGTGGTTTCGAATATTTCATAATGTGAAACATTCTATTGCAATTTAATACAATGTGGATGCTGCGGCATATTTTGGAATGTCCAATGTTTATAATTGAATTCATTATTCCGAGGCACTGCTTCAGGTAGAATACTCGAAAATAGTTTAAATAATTTTATTAATTTACGATCAAACTAATTAACCATGAAATTGCAAGTCATTTCCATGTCACCTAATAATTTCCTACTTTCACCAGTTTATTGTATTATTATTTACACAATAAAATTAAAAAAACAATTAAACAAACCACATATTAAATTTGAAAAATTGAAATCAAAATTAAATTTCCAAATATTCGAGAAAAATTCGTTTTCTACTGTACACTTCTCAAAATTCCGAGAAATACGATATATTCCACGTTTCCTAAGCGTGCAAATATGTTTTTTTCGCAGCTCGGTTCGATCCTGATCGTCCGTTTCATAGAAAACGAAATCGTTCCGGACGATTTCCCATTGTTCCCACGGGAATTATTATTTTAACGAGCGCGGGACACGTTCGCGTCGCCAACGAAAAACAATATTTGACGACAAATATTGTTTAACGTCGCGACGAAGCGTGGTGGGGAAATCAATCGAGTTTACGCAAACATTACGCGCTTATGTGACTCGCGACGACGCCGACGGCTCGCAATAATGCAAAACAAATACCTACTTAAGTGCTCGAGCCACTATTGTCTCTATCTAGCTGGATCTTATTCGGTTTCAGCCGTCTCTTCGTTTTTCCCATTCGAGTTCTAATTTTAGACAGAAATGATTTGGGAAGCATTTACGAATCCATGGAATACGATGTGAAAAAAAAATTGAAAAATTGAACGTACAAGATGATAATATAAATAGAAATTATTTAGAAAGATTTTACAATGTTTTTGGTGTAAATTATTGTAATGGAGAATTTTTGAAATGGAGTTAAAGGGGTAAAAATAGGTAAAGTTTGGGAATTTTTTTCATAGGTAAT